TGATATGAGATATAAAACATAACGCATTGTCTGTTAACAGACAATTTGTTAACAGTTCATTTGTATTTGTAAATCTGACTGTAAAAGTTAGTGCCTCACCAGCTGTCAACCTCACCGCACGTCACTGCCTCCTTCACAGCTCCAGAGGTCCAGAAGGGTCACATTGTGTCCACCCAGACTCAGCCGAAAAGGTTGGAAAACTCTGGCTTGTGTTGTGGTTGTAAGGACCTCTGTTACAAAATATTTAAGGGCCCATTTGTGAATTATATGATGTCAGCCAGTGGTTCTAAACCTGGGGGTTGTTAGATAAGTCTGGTCACTTAATAGCATGAGCTTTGTGCATATGGCACTCGTCCACTAGTATCCAAAAGCAGGATGTCAGAAAATGTGTTTTTATATAAGCAGCTTATTAATATCAAAATCATTTTTTTGTTTTGCTTTCCATCAGATGGCTGTGTACTCACTGGTGCATTGATTTTCATCTACTTCAAAACCAGGTACTTTCCTCCCTCTTCTATCTCTTACTCAAACTCATTATTTTGCATATTTTTAGCACTTGTGCTTCATCCATTTTTGCTGTCACCTGTTTCATGCAAGCCGAGTATGTGTGAGACCATGGTGGTGAAGAGGACTGGCCTGCTTATGGTGCTGGAGACCTGTGAGCTTCACCACAAGGTCACGATTCTGCCTCCTGTGGAACGTCGCATCAGACAGCTAGCTGAAGATGTCTACAGAAACTCAGTGAGTGGGAACTGTGTGAGTCAGGTACTTTCCTCCCTCTTCTATCTCTTACTCAAACTATCTCTATTTTTCTTTTGGGTTTACCAATAGCACCAGCTCTCTTCTCATTTGAGATGGATGGTGATCTCTTTGCAGGGTGCTCATGTGTCGATGGTTTTTTTTTTTCATTTTAATTATTTCTTTAATTCTGTCCACAATATTCTTTCCTCCCTATTGCAGTCAAAGAAAGGGAAATCTCCAACCACCCAGAGAGAGCTACTGTAAGTGTGGTGATGCCAAACAGTCAGCGCATCCTAGTCAAGTGTGAGGTGAAATCCAGAGGGGGAGACTTCTTTGACATGATTGTAGCTCACTCCAACCTGGTGGAACATTTCTACTTTGGCCTTGCTTATATTGATGGTAATGAGGTTTAAGACTAATTTCAAAAATAGTTTCATGCTTATAAGGCCACGAATGTCATTATTTGAACATGTTTACCATACAGTCTAACAAAACTACTTGCACCTACTACCATCTTTGTTCTTTTCGGCACTGCCTGTTCAGATAATGAGTTTTTCTTTGTGGACAACAAGACCAAGATTTGTAAAGTTGCTCCAGATACCTGGAAGAAAGTGCCTACCGCCACCATTGTCCTTTTCTTCAGGGTCAAATTTTTTGTCAGTGACATTTCTTTTATTTTGTAAGTATCTTTTTTCCTTTTCTTTCACCCTAACCCTGCCATGAGGAGACTGCTCTGTACCTGGGAGCTCTGGCCCTGCAGATGGAGACTGCATGCCTGAGGTTGTGCACCTAACATACATAGTGTCATAATCCTGTCCCGCTGGCTTCCGGTTTCCTGCTTTTATTCTGACACTACTTCCTGTCCACAGCTCACCCTGACTCCCGGGAACTTTACCTCATCATTCGGCATTCTGAGATTGCAAACCTGTCTGTATTACCCACTAACGATTTTGCCTCGTCCTTCTTGTTGAACTGCGATTCTGATATCGAGACCCTGCCTATACTACCGACCAGAGATTCTGCCTTGCCCTCCCTGCCTGATCCCTCGATACTGTTTACTGTTCCAGTCTGATTCTGTTTCTCCTGCACCTGAGCTCCCTGAAGCAGACAAACTCTGTTCTACTGCCTCAGACGACTTGCTCTTTAATTGGGTTCACACCTCCACATTCGTGGGAGCTTCACATACCTCCCTGTGACACATAGTTGATAAGGAAGAGTGTCCTTGTAAGCTGTTAAAGGGTTAGTTCTGCAGTGTAATATTTCCCCTTCATAAAAACAGGTGGCTGACAAGAGAAATTTTAAAATATGAATGGTATAAAACTATATAACAGCATAGGTGAATATATGCTGTTTAAGTTCCAAAACAGTGAATCCTTCTTGTCCCGCAATGCAACTAAATAGTATCTTTAATAAAGATCTCACTGCCTTGTTTTACAAATTCCATCATTTTTAGTCCATCATAAAAACAATTCCATCATTTTTAGTTTATGATTAAGCCTCCAATGTAACGCTGAGATTACCATGATGTCATGATGATGATGTTATCACTATGACATCATCAGGGTGAAAACCCTAAACCGTTTTCACAGGCTGAATAGTACTAACCAATTTTCATGTGTAAATTTAAGTGAATTTCTACTACGACTTCACACCAGTAATGCTCAGATGCTCACCAATGAATCAGAACTCGAGTTCCTCAAGGTAGCAAAATGGTCAGATTTTTTCAGTAGTACTTTTTCAGTATCATGTGCCTTCAACTTGAATTTGAAGATTCTAATCAACATGCTACACCTATACAAGTATGACTGCCATTTGTTTCATTTAAGAGGTACAGTTGCCACTCTCTGTTTGTCCATGTAGGTGTGTCAGCAGTTGCCTGAATGTGGTGTGTTGTTCCACTGTGATGCGTGAGAAAAAGCAAGAGATTATCCTCGGGGTTTGTGCCAAAGGAGTCATTGTCTATGAGGTTAAAGATGGCTACAGATTCACAATTCAGAACTGCCACCGTCTCCTCTAATGTGAGTGGAATGATAAAATTGTCATTTCATTCCTTTTTGTGCATGAACTTCAAATGACATTGCTGCCAACATAAAAATGTGGCTGGCAGTGACATTTGTTATTGTTGTGCGTTCTCTTTTCTTCCCTGAGGTCTTTTCTTTTTGTTCTTGCAGACGCATACATTTGTAGTAGAGATGAGGGGCAGCAAGAAGTACACCATCACAGAAGGGTCAAAGATAGCCACATACTTGTGTAACCTGTGTTCAGCCCAACACAAGTTCAACAGTGAGATGGACTCTCGCCAGCTCAGCCACGGGCTGATCCCAGGTCAGTTAATCCACCATTAATCTTGCCAAAACCTGT